GTTACTATGAGAAGTAAATAACACAATGAATAAAAGTAATTATCAGAGAATCTAGTATACACCAAGCATTTAATGTACGATAGTAGTTGCATAATTTTTATTTGATATTTGCTATCTTATTTAAAAATTGAAGCATTTAATAAGAAGGCAAAGGGTGGAGGAAATAATCAATAAAGGAAAAAAAAAGAAAAACCCCAGGCTTTCCCAGCCAGGAGCTCCCCACTGCTCAGGCTTCTCCACCTTTATTTTATTAACATTCAGGCTTCTCCATCTTTCCTTGGAAGTTTCTGCCCACGACTCCCCAGATGCCCCTCCCGTGGTTGAGTCTGACAAACATTTATTTTCACTTTGCTCAGCTAAGACAAATTAAGAAAACGAATGAAGGATTCCATGCCTAGGAAGCTCTGTCAATTAAGAAATCTGAGACGTAGCATCCATTCAAGGGGCTTCCCTTAAAAGAACAGAACTCAATGGTCGGCACTGTCCCATGAAGTTGGCTGGCTTTCATTGTCCTTTCATGTCCTAGAAAGAGATTTCTGTTTTTATCTTCAGCGCCGCTGCTTCCTAACTCTTCTCTTGTTTGTCTTCTTCCTTTACTGGCAAGGGTAAGGGTTTTAGTGCTGCCAGTGGAAAAAAAAAAAATGAAATCATAAAACCAACATTCTGTAAATAAAGCAGAATCTCATGGAACAGCAAAAAAAAAGAAAGAGGAGAAAAAACCAAGGGCAACACACGTAACCTAAACATCTGTACCCCATAATATGCTGAAATAAAAAAAAAAATCTGACTGGAGCCAGGAAAATTCCTCAAAGAGACGAAATGCCTGGCCATCTGCAAAAGAGTTAGTTAGAGAAAGGATAAGCAAGGACAGAAAGAGAAGGGGTGGAACTGGTAGGGAAATAGGTTAACCTGATTATTCCTGTGCCATTATTTTAGTCATAGAAATACTATAGATAGGGGATGCCCCTTTTTGTATGTTCTCCGGAAAATACAGTCCTCTGATAAGCTTCTCCCCACAATGATTCCTGGCAGCTCTGCCAACGCTCCTCTCCTCCATTCTTTCCACGAATTCAGAATCATCTGAGCTTGTTATCAGTGTTCTTCTCAATGCCCTGGAAGCAGAGATGCTCCTGAATGCCCATAAGAAAAGGTCATCCCAGAGAGGAAGCTTATCACTTGGTCTTCTCTAAGGCCAGTTGGCTGCCTAAACAGATTTTTAAATAAGAGGAGCCATTAATTAAATTTGTGTTCTAAGAGCACACTTGATGCATGAAGGTAGGGCTCATGTCTGTACTTCTCTCCACTGTATTTTGAGCCTAGGCTTGGCACTTAGTAGATACTCAATACATTCGTCAGATAGGTGGATGAATGGATGGATGGATGGATGGATGGATGGACTGATGGATGATGAAGCCAGGAGGCTCCTTCTGGACCTGGCAGGCATGGTCATTCTTCTCTTCTTCCCCTGAGAGCAAGTGGAATAGGAGATCTTGTTTCTCTCTGTGACTTCCGTTGCATGGGTCATCATATTGTGAGGAGATTCCTATACAATTTAAAAACCTGGCAGTCATATCACTGTCTCATATTTTTGTTGTCACTTTTGGGAGTGTTCTCAAATATTCTCTCCACTAAATAACTCTTCTTTTTTCTTAAAAGAGTTATCTATGTAAGTGTCTTTCATGATTATTTAAAATCCACATATTCTGTAATCCTAGCACTCTGGGAGGCCGAGG